TCTGGGATTATAGGCATTAGCCACCATGCCCAGCCCCACTCTTTTTAAAAAAGTAAACTTTTAATACAGGAAAAAAAGCACAGTTCATAAGTGTACAGCTTGATGAATTACCCAAAATGAACATACAGCTAAGAGAACCATAGCATTCCAGAAGCTACTCTCCCTACCCTTTCCAAAATTAACCCTTCCAAGGGAATCACTGTCCTGACCTCCCACCATAGATTAGTTCTGCCTGTTTTTGAACTTTATATAATGGAATAATACAGCAAGTACCCTTTTGTCACATGAAAACTGTCTGATAGGCCAGACTCATGCCTGTAATCCCAGCATGTTGGGAGGTCGAGGAGGCTGGATCACTTGAGGTCAGGAGTTCCAGACCAGCCTGGACAACATGGTGAAACCCCGTCTCTATTAAAAATAGCTGGGGTACGCTGGGCACGGTGGCTCACGCCTATAATCCCAGCACTTTGGGAGGCCGAGGCGGGCGGATCACGAGGTCAGGAGATCGAGACCATCCTGGCTAACACAGTGAAACTCCGTCTCTACTAAAAATACAAAAAATTAGCTGGGCGTGGTGGCGGGTGCCTGTAGTCCCAGCTACTTGGGAGGCTGAGGCATGAGAATGGCGTGAACCCAGGAGGCGGAGCTTGCAGTGAGCCGAGATCATGCCACTGCACTCCAGCTTGGGTGATAGAGCGAGACTCCATCTCAAAAAAAAAAAAAAAAATACAGGCCAGAGTCATGCCTGTAATCCCAGCTACTAGGGAGACTGAGGCAGGAGAATTACTTGAACCTGGGAGGCAGAGGTTGCAGTGAACTGAGATTGTGCCACTGCACTCCAGCCTCCATCTCAAAAAAAAAAAAAAAAAGAAAACTGTTTGATAGAGTTGCCCTGTCCAAAGATGAAAGGGAGGCCTGGAGACAGTATCGGAGGGAGTGTGAGACACAGGACAAACACTCATTACTTCATCCTCATGCATCACAGAAGGATTTGAACTGTCCCATCCTGGGAGTCTCTGATTCCAGGTTCAGCTGGCTAAACATGTTTATCAAATTACCCTGTTTAATAACATGGCGCACGTTTTAACAAGAAGCACTTACATCCATCATATAGGCAAAAAGTAAAAAGATGGATAACACCTAATGCTGGGGAGGGTGTGGGACAAGGACACTTCCATTTACTGTACTATTATGAAAGTATATGACAGAGGCTGGGAGCAGTGGCTCATACCTGTAATCCCAGCACTTTGGGAGGCCAAGGCAGGCAGATCACCTGAGGTCAGGAGTTTGAGACCAGCCTGGCTAATATGGTGAAACCCCATCTCTAATAAAAATACAAAAAGTTAGCCAGGCATGGTGGCACACACCTGTAGTCCCAGCTAATTGGGAGGCTGCGGCAGAAGAATCGCTTGAGCCCAGGAGGTTGCAATGAGCTGAGATCATGCCACTGTACTCCAGCCTAGGCAACAGAGCAAGACTCCATCCCAAAAATGAACAAACAAACAAAGATTTATATCTGCATACTTGCTGACCAGCTCACCCACTTACTAGAAATCTATGTCCTATGGGTCGGGCGCGGTGGCTCACGCCTGTAATCCCAGCACTTTGGGAGGCCGAGGTGGGTGGATCATGAGGTCAGGAGATGGAGACCATCCTGGCTAACACGGTGAAACCCCATCTCTACTAAAAATACCAAAAATTAGCTGGGCGTGGTGGCGGCGCCTGTAGTCCCAGCTACTAGGGAGGCTGAGGCAGGAGAATGGCGTGAACCCAGGAGGTGGAGCGTGTGGTGAGCCAAGATAGTGCCATTGCAGTCCAGCCTGGGTGACAGAGCGAGACTCCCCCTCAAAACAAAAACAAAAACAAAAACAACAGATCTATGTACTATGCCTCAGTTTCCTCATTTCTAAAATGGGGATAACAGTGCCTACCCCAGTGAGCTGCTGTGCAGATTAAATGAGGACACACCACACCCACCCACACCCACAGGCACCAGAGCACCTGGTATTTAAGTGTTAACTCTTACCTTTGTTTGGTACATTGGGGAGATTGACCTGATGTTTTCCCAAAAGACTTCCAAGACACTAATTTATTCCTACCAATAACACATGGCTCAGGAAAATGAAACTGGATTAGTGTCTCTCAAAGGGTGACTCCAGGGAGGCTTGTTAAAATGCAGGTTTCCAGCCAGGGTCTGGGGAAGGGGCTGCAGGCGCCCTGTCCATGAAGGTGGCAGAGAACACCCCTAAAATAACCCAAGAAGCAGGCCAAGGAGATGGACAAGGAAGATAAATCTTTGGCCCTGGCCACAGGTAGAATTAAGAAATTTGGCGAGGCAGGGCACAGTGCCATAGGCCTGTAATCCCAGGACTTGGGGAGGCTGAGGCAGTCGGATTGCTTGAGCCCTGGAGTTCGAGACCAGCCTAGGCAACATAGTGAAACCCTGTCTTTATATATATGCGTATGTGTGTGTGTATGTGTATATATGTGTATACATATACACATATATAACATATACACACATATACACATACACACACATAAAATATTTATTATATATAATATAGAAATACATATAGGCCAGGCGCAGTGGCTGATGACTGTAATGCCAGCACTTTGGGAGGCTGAGGCGGGCAGATCATTTGAGGTCAGGAGTTCAAAACCAGCCTGGCCAACATAGTGAAACCCTGTCTCCACTAAAAATACAAAAAATTAGTGGGGCGTGGTGGTGCACGCCTGTAATTCCAACTACTCGGGAGGCTGAGGCAGGAGGATCGCTTGAACCTGGGAGGCTGAGGCAGGAGAATCGCTTGAACCTGGGAGGCGGAGCTTTGAGCCGATATCACACCACTGCACTCCAGTCTGGGCGACACAGCAACGCTCTGTCTCAAAACCAAAAAAAAAAAAAAAAAACTGAAATCTGACAAAAAGCGACCTGTTCCACTGTCTCTTGTGCCTGCGGTGATGGTGGGCCTGACTCCATTCGTGTTTTAACATCTCGATTCCCGGCCACATCTTTGGCCACCTAGTTTAGAATAAAGTGTTGTCTTGGAGCCTGTTGTACATTTATGAATAAACTTTTGTTAAAAAGAAAATACATCATCAAGAGATGATGAGCCACTCCTGCCCTAGATGTGAATTTAAAGTAAAACAAGCCCCCAGAATCTTGCCAGAGTCAGCCCTTTCATCTTTGTTCTCTGAACTCTTATTACCTGGAATTAAAACAACTCATTTGAAAAAAAGAAAAGCAGGTTTCTGAGCTCACCCTAAACCCGCTGAACAGAATGACTGCAGTGGCGCCCCACAACCTCTCACAGGCCTCCCAGCTGCTGCTAATGCCCGCTGAAGCCCCAACGCCCGGGTAAGGCCAGGGCGGCCCGACAGACTGGGGCACTGGAGGACCCGGGGGCTAGAGGGCGCCGCTCTCTCCCGGCTCGCGTCTCGGTTCCCGGAAAAGTAGCTCCGTCCGTCGTTCGGCTGCGCTCACCTCCTTTCCGCTTCCGGTGTCCCCTACAGTCATGGCTGCCGCCGTTGCTGCTGCCGGTGCCGGGGAACCCCAGTCCCCGGACGAATTGCTCCCGAAAGGCGACGCGGAGAAGCCTGAGGAGGAGCTGGAGGAGGACGACGATGAGGAGGTACTAGGGCCTTGCGGGGTGCGGAGCGGGTAGCGGGCCAGTTCGTGGATGTGAGATCCGCATGGTATGGGATCAGAGCGAAGCGGCTTCTTTAGGAGGCGGAGTTGGGGCCCCGCTGGGCCTTGGGGTGCCCTAGCTCCAGTGGGGCTCGGCGGCTTCTAGTGCCGCAGCGGGGCCAGGAATGGATGTCGCTTTTTCGGCTAAGACCCGTGTCTTCTCCACCACAGCTAGATGAGACCCTGTCGGAGAGACTATGGGGCCTGACGGAGATGTTTCCGGAGAGGGTCCGGTCCGCGGCCGGAGCCACTTTTGATCTTTCCCTCTTTGTGGCTCAAAAAATGTACAGGTAAGGAACGAGGGCAAAGGTATTGGGTAGGTGCATGGGATGACCGTGGTGCTGTGAAAGAACACGGGGTTTGGAAGCAGCAGACCTGTGTTGGGTGACCTTGGACTTGTACCCTATCCTTTCTGAGTCTCAGTTTCCTCTTCTGTAAAATGGGGATTCTTACCTGGCAGGGGCGTTGTGGGGGTTATTTCAGATTGTTGGAGATAATTAATGAATAAGGAGCTTTGTAAGAACTCAGGAGAATGTTAAACCGCCATCACTAGATGATACAGCTACCACAGCTGCTCCTCCTGTCTCTGGTAGGAGTATGGTGCAAGGAGCGGGTAGAATACGTTTGTCAAAACATCGGAGTATGTAGGGCCGGGCGGGGTGGCTCACGTGGGTAATCTCAGCACTTGGGAGGCCAAGGCAGGTGGATCACTTGAGGTCGGCAGTTCGAGACCAGCCTGACCAACATGGAGAAACACTGTCTCTACTAAAAATACAAAATTAGCCGGGCGTGGTGACACACGCCTGTATTCCCAGCTACTCAGGAGGCTGAGGCAGGAGAAATTGCTTGAACCTGAGAGGTAGAGGTTGCGGTGAGCCGAGATCATGCCATTGAACTCCAGCCTGGGCAACAAGAGCTAAATTCCATCTCGAAAAGAAAAGAAAAGAAAAGAAACCATTGGAGTATGTAATGTGAGAGGTTTGGTTACTGAGTAGTTCTTGCCTGTTTTGTTTGCATGTCTTCCTGCTCACCCTCTGGGGGTTTTCCTCTACAGGTTTTCCAGGGCAGCCTTGTGGATTGGGACCACTTCCTTTATGATCCTGGTTCTTCCCGTTGTCTTTGAGACCGAGAAGTTGCAAATGGAGCAACAGCAGCAACTGCAGCAGCGGCAGGTAAGCCCAGACCCTGGGCTTTTTGCCAGTGGTGGAGACGCAAGTTATTTCACTAACACATTGGTCCCCAGCCTTTTTGGCACCAGGGACTGGTTTCATGGAAGACAGTTTTTACATGGACGGTGGGGTGGGGGTGACGGAGGGTAGGGGGGTTTCCAGACGATTCAAGTGCATTACATTTATTGTGCACTGCATTTCTATTATTACATTGTAATATATAATGAAATAATTCTATAATGTAGAATGAGGGGGAGCCCTGAGCTTGTTTTCCTGCAACTAGATAGTCCTATCTGGGGGTGATGGGAGACAGTGACAGATCATCAGGCATGAGATTCTCATAAGGATCTTGCAACCTAGATCCCTCACATGCACTGTTCACAAGGGTTTGTGCTATAAGAATCTAATGCTGCTGACCTGACAGGAGGTGGAGCTCAGGCAGTGATGTGAGCAATGGGGAACAGCACTAAACACAGAAGAAGCTTCTCTCACTTTCCTTCTGCTCACCTGCTGCCGTGTGGCTCGGCTCCTAACAGGTCATGGGCCAGTGCCAATCCACGGCCCAGGGGTTGGGGACTCCTGTTCTAGCACCTGGGTTGACCAACAGTTAATGTGTGGGTGGGGATTGGGATTGGGCCCATGCTCTTTTCAGTGTCTGATGGTGCTTTCAGTATTATTTCTGTAGACGTTGGCCCTATCAGGTATGGTGAGAATAAGTTCTCTAGGCCTGAATGATGCCTTACACCTCTCCTTTTCTTTTCCAGATACTTCTAGGGCCTAATACAGGGCTCTCAGGAGGAATGCCAGGGGCTCTACCCTCACTTCCTGGAAAGATCTAGATTGTTACTGCTGTTTGAGCTGTCTCAGTGGGATAAGTTTGAAATTCAAGTGTTTGAACTGCTGATTATTTGGATTTTTTTTTTTTTTTTTAACTTTGGCACATTGATCTATCTAAACCTGGTGGGGAGAATTCTCTTCACATTGTCTCATGGAAAGACTCAACTTGCAACTGTGCCCTCCACACTATCCTTACTTCTGTCTTCACTCTGATACCAGAGTGCAGCCATGCAGACGGTTATTCCTGCTCTGGCCACCCCACTCCTTTCACCAAATTGCTCCTAACTGGAAGATGTCACTTTCCCCTTGTGGGTAGGAACCGATACCAGTGGGAGGGATGTGCCCCTGACCATTAACGACTGCCTTTTTTATTGTTTAATTTTTTTTTTAAAGAATGGAGCTGTTGGGGAGGGACATGCACGCAATGTGAAAGACAAAATGCATTACACCTGTAGTGTAAAGCGGCCACTATGAATCCCTATGTATGAAGAGGAGGGAGGCTGGCGGCAGCTTCAGCCACAGAATGGGGACTGTGGAAGACAGATCAGGAGTTCATTTCCCCCGCACAGTTTGGTTGTTAGACCTGTGTGTGTGTTTGAAAAAACAGAAGTCAGTGCTCACTTTTTGTATTTAAATATTAAAAATTATTCCAACTGAAAGTGTCATCCTAAGTACCTTGAAACGAGACCAGGTCAGAGACATGTACTGCCCCTCACATTTTCTCATCTAAACCAGCAGCACCTCCGTCTTAACACCCATAGGCCCAAATTGTTTCTGAAAGTGAAAAAATTCATTTTTAGCCAAGTACTTCATAGCAATCTTTGCCCTGAATTTAGGCAGTCACTTTGAGATCCAGCAGCCTAAAACAAAGGATTGGGTCTATGTACTACTTTAGTCTATGACACTGTGTAATTTATAAAGTATTTGTGGGGAATAACATAATACTGATTTCTGGGGAATAGGGGAGGGGGACAGAATTTTTTTGCCTGAGACCAGGTCTAACTGGAGTACAGGTGGTGTCATTTGGGTTCACTGCAACCTCTACCTCCCAGAGTCAGGTGATCCTCCCAACTTGGCCTCCTGGGTAGCTAGGACTACAGGTACACGCCCACCATGCCCAGCTAGTTTCTTGTATTTTTGGTAGTCAGGGTTTTGCCATGTTGCCCCAGCTGGTCTTGAACTCCTGAGTTCTAGCCATCCACCCCCCTCCGACCTCTCAAAGTGCTGGGATTACAGGCGTTACCTACCACACCCGGCCAGAGTAAACCTTTTATGTGAATTATTTATTAGATAAACCAACACTACAATTTCGGTGGTATTGTTCCCATTTTATGGAAGTGGAAACAGCCACAGAAAGGTAATTGCTCAAGGCCACAGAGTTAAGTGCTAGACCTGGATTCAAATCCAGGCAGTCCAACTACAGAACACTGCTGCTGTGTGCTCAGGATAGTGAGGCTGGGCCTAGGCCCGCTGGGCAGATGCATGATCTTTCACTTGTTAACTAGGGAAAAACACTAGTCACCAGTGTGGTACAAACTTGGACTTACATGGATTATTCAAACTGTCAAAATTAGTTGTACTGAAAAATGTCTTGGGGACATCTTTTGAACCAAATCCCTTTTCAGTGAGTATTTTTTCTGGATTTCTCAGGTGAAAGACTTAATCAAAGCATGATGTCTCTAAAAGATGACTTACGCTGGCAATGAATTCCTTTTAAAACAGCATCATACTTAAGTTTATTTTTCTTTACACAATTATAGAACTCAGGCAGACAAGGAGACATACACGGAGTTTTCCATGTTTAATATCTGGTTAAACAAAATACATCTTTTGTAAACAAACCCAGCACAAGGCCAACAACAAAAAGGAATAAAAGCAAGAAAAACAAAAAGCCTAGGGTTGCCCGTTACTGGGCATCAGGGTCAGGCCTGTTCACTTCCTTAAAGGAAGTGGGGCTTTTTGCCCTTGGGCATCAGCATGGGTCCCTGTTCCTAAGCACCAGGATTGGATATGAACAGAGAAACCAGCCCTGAAATGTTTAAGCGTCTTTGCATATCCCATTGGCTCATGGACTCCAAGTGCATGGGGACTCTTTGAAGTGCCATTTGCACAGGCCCAAGCAGATTTGTGGAGAGGAGTTTCCTCCTCTTCCCAAGAAATGGCTTACTATTTCTGACAGTGCCAGTGGCCCCAAGGTCCTGCTTGTGACAATCAGCAAGGTTGGCTGTAACGTCTGGCTGGTGGTGGTTGGAATGTCATTGTACAGGGCAGGGAAAGAGCTCCCTGTGGTGCCAAGCAGGTCTGGTGTAGAAAATGGTGCAGAAGAGACTGCGGCCAGTTGCTGAGAAGACATAATGCAGTAGCCGCTTGGTGGCCTGTTACTCAGCATAAAAAAAATGGCCTTGTTGGATTGAAGATACATGTGCAGAAAAAGTGCTGGTGTCAACATGCACTCCAGTCACAGGGGGAGAAAGCCTCAGCTTCACCCCGTTAAGCTTGCTCAGGATCAACATGCAAGCCCCAGGCTGGCTTTGCTACTGGAGAGAAGTCTGGCCAGTGGGGCAGCTCTCAGACCCACTGAGATCATTGATCTGAGGGCCAGCGGGTCACCCCTGCCTGCCCACCTGCCTTGAGGCAACCACATCCACTCTGGAGACACACGTGTGGTATACTTATTTCTCTGTTTTCCAAAGTTACAAGAGAAAAGTGGCCTACAACTATTTCAAGAGGTAGGGGCAGGTTGAACTTCCATTGATACATAAAGGAAACGACATAAAGATGACCAACCCAGGTCCTATTCCATCCATACAGTACAGAACCACCCAACCGGAGCTTGGCACTATAGTGGCAGCCTCTGAGCCTAGAGTGTCTACTGAATTCTGGCTGTCCCTATTCCAAGCAGCTTATCTTCACAATACTTTCCTCACCCAACTCTGCCCCAAATTAGTGGAATTTGATGTCAAAGGCAGACTTTTTTTTTCTGATTTTGCCAGAGTAAGTAAACTGGGAAAACTGCTCTTTGGCTTCTCTTTTGTCCCAGAGCCTCCTAAATCAATGTTGCGAAATGGTAGGGACAACACTGGAGTGAAGAAACCAAGCCACCCCGTGGCTGTCCCAGTTTGGCTTTAGCCACATCCTGTTCAGTATCTTACTTCATACTGGAATATTAGCATGGAATATTAATTAATTTTTCATTATAAAACTCTGCCGGGTGCAGTGGCTCATGCCTGTAATCCCAGCACTTTGGGAGGCCAAGGCGGGCAGATCACCTGAGGTCGGGAGTTCGAGACCAGCCTGACCAACATGGAGAAACCCTGTCTCTACTAAAAATACAAAATTAGCCGGGCGTGGTGGCAGGCACCTGTAATCCCAGCTACTCGGAAAGCTGAGGCAGGAAAATTGCTTGAACCAGGAGGTGGAGGTTGCAGTGAGCCGAGATCATGCCATTGCACTCCAGCCTGGGCAACAAGAGTGAAACTCAATCTCAAACAACAACAACAAAAAAAATCCTCCATGTGTGGCCATAAACCACCCTTAAACCCGGGGATAAGGGTTGGAGACAGCGCGCTGTACCGCTGCTAGGGTTCTGGACATGGTTTCCTGAGAGACCTTTATGCTCTGGGTCCTTCAAACCAGTCACATGGGCTTTGTGTGCACTATCTTCAGACCCACTGTTTTCAGACCCAGACAGGACGGAAAGTGGAGACAGCATCTCTAGGTGAGTGTGGAGCAGCAGTGACAACTCAGCAGAACCTATGTCAAGTCCTCATAGAAAAGGGAAAATAAGCTAGGATTCCCTCCCCGCTCCACTTTCTCCTCTCTTAAATAAAACAAGGGTTTGTGACCACTGGCCTTGAGTGCACAGAGCTCCTACCTTCCTTGCCCAGGAACAAAACACGGGGTAGTTCTTACAACAGTCCACACGTCTGTCCTATTGCACTGTCAGATCTGAAGGGGAAAAACCCGATGAGATGTTTGGGGAAGTGGGAAGGGCAGACCCACTGTAGAGGCCACAGCACATCACAGAGGACTGAGGGGGCTGAGGCGAGAGGGAGGTTGGGGAGAACTGCTACACGTCAGTCCTCCAACTCTGATGAGCCTCTACCTCTTCTGGTACCACCAGCAGGAGTTCACAGTTCTTTCCTCGCAAATGATGTTTTAGAAACTTCCTATGGAAAAAGAGACAGAAAAAATGAAATACTGTCAAGTTGCAAATTCCAGTCTCAGGACCACAAAGTCACCTGAAACCTCACTATACCCGTGGCGGCCCAAAACACATTCCTGTAGTCATCTGGTTTTGGAGGGGTCCACGTTTGGTTGCCCTCCAATCTTTCCACTTAAAATTCCAACCTGAATTTTTGCTCATCCTTATAGTTACTGCCAACAGTAGCTGGATCTGTGAATAACAGTACCCAAAGTACTATAAAGGACTTTTTTTGGTTGGTTTGTCTGGAGAGGGAGTTTTGCTCTTGTTGCCTGGGCTGCAGTGCAATGGCATGATCTTGGCTCACTGCAATATCTGCCTTCCGGGTTCAAGCGATTCTCCTGCCTCAGCCTCCTGACCAGCTGGGATTAGAGGCGCCCGCCACCACGCCTCGCTAATTTTTGTATTTTTAGTAGAGACGGAGTTTCACCATGTTGGCAAGACTGGTCTCGAACTCCTGACCTCAGGTGATCCACCCACCTAGGCCTCCCAAAGTGCTGGGATTACAGGCGTGAGCCACCACCTCTAAAGGATTTTTATAAATGTTCTTTGGTCCTAGGGAAATTCAGTCCTCCTTGGCCTGAATGTCTGTCTTCCTTTCTATGAACTGGTAACTACTGTCTCAGTTGTCTTAAATGGAGAGAACATTACAATGCCAGCCCCACCAGACCAGAAGGTTGGTATCTCAGGCTGTGCATCTTCCCTACCAAAAGGACTTAAAAGTACTGGTGGGTCATTGAAGATTAGGGTCAGGTCCAAGACACTATGATTCTATGATTCTAAGTAAGGCAGGCAGAGAATCCAAGGGCACAGGAATTTCATTTCCTTTGTCAAATAACCAGAGATGAGCTCAGTGTCCCCAACATAAGAAATGAAGCAGCCTAGCGCCTTAGTCACAACAGGTGCTGATTACCTGAGCTCGCTCTCGCCTCCAATCCACTCGGGCATCTTGAGTTTGGAGTCGAGGTTGTAGTAGGCCCCTCCCACCTCTCGGACACAGATCCAGTGCTGCCTTTTGAGGGGCAGTTTCAGTGGACCCCAGCATAGGCTGGAGGGCAGATTCATGATGAAGCCCATGACATTAGTGAGGGCAATGACACCGACATCCCTGCAGGGGAGAAATGGTGGCAGAATCTGAGGCAGCACACTTCCCAAGGTTCCCTGGCTGTAATACCACAAATGGCTACCTCCCCACTCATGCCATGAGCCCAAGTACTAAAAGCTTATACCACAACCGTGCTGTTCTCCATCAAGTCAAGCCTGATTCAGATTACCTGCGCTTGTCCCACCAAACAGCTTCATAGCCTTTGGTCTGAAGTGCTGCCATAATGACATTCACATCGTAGTTGCCATTTCCCAGCATGCTCTTCTTGTGAGGTGTCACCATGGTGTTTGGAGACAACCTACCAATGTGAAAAGAGGAGGCTGAGACTTGCTGGGCTGGCTAACCCCTCCTGACCCTGCACTACCGGGGGTGGAGAGCACTTTACATCACTGCTCCTGGAAGTTAGTTTCCCCACATTCAAGTAAAATTTCCCCGGCTTCTACCTAAGTATTTTGTAACTGTTCCACGAAGGAGCCTCACTTATGAAATCCCAGCCTCCCACAGCCTTTCTGCAGTCTTCCTCCTGATACTGATATTCCTGCCTCATGTAAGCCTTTTTTTTCAACACTGGAAAATAGGATTCAATATTTTCATTTGCATGGATAGTAACTGTTGTCACTCCTGC